GTTGGCTTACCTGAACAGTCGTTCTCGGGGCACTGCAAGGAGAGTCCAAACCCGCCCGGGGTGTTTATTTCTATTGAACGATGTGACTGTATTGACTGTAACTGATTACAGGACGGTTTCCTTCGTTTTCAAACTGAGCATGCAGAGGCAAAGGGAGGCGTGGTCAACTAAAAACATCACTCAGTCCAAGGGCAGATAGGCTGTGTTAACCCAGCATTGGACTCTCCGAGCAGTGCACTGGAGAAAGACCGTTGGCTTACCTGAACGGTCATTCTCGGGGCACTGCGAGGAGAGTCCAAACCCGCCCGGGGTGTTTATTCTATTAAACGATGTGACTTTATTGACTGTAACTGATTACAGGACGGTTTCCTTCGTTTTCAAACTGAGCATGCAGAGGCAAAGGGAGGCGTGGTCAACTAAAAACATCACTCAGTCCAAGGGCAGATAGGCTGTGTTAACCCAGCATTAGACTCTCCGAGCAGTGCCCCGAGAACGACCGTTCAGGTAAGCCAAAGGCCTTTCCCAAGCATAATTTATGAGTAAAACTGGCCCTTGATTTAATAATGGGTTGGTTAGCAATCATTCAAAGTTATGACAGATCCCCTCCCCCAAAAATACTTAACACCCAATTTCAAGATTACAATGGCAGCATTCTCCTGTGGTCATGAGATTGCATTTTGGGTGCTGCCAACAAGCTGCCTTTGATGGCTGTTTACAGCATTCTTTAGTTATATTACCATACTTTTCAATATTTTTTGCTGGTTTTCAATGTTTATTTTTAGTTTACAGGAAAAAGTGCCCAATGGGTATATTGGATTCCTCATGACCACAATGTTTGCTTAACAACCAATGCAAAAATCTCATAAAATTGGGCCTGGTCACATAGTGACTCACTAAATGACAACGATTTACAGCTATAAGTCTCTGCTCAATTATGGTGATTAGTTGAGAACTACCTGTATTCATAAGAAATGATTGGCTGTTGTGTTTCACTGGTTCTTCTAAAGTAAGATCTTGTAACTTTTCTATCAGAAGTTCCTTTGCATTAAAGTATTCAAGGAGCATCAGTATGACACTAAATATAAATCCCCTTGTATGGGAACACTCATCAGCACCCACCTCCTTTAAGTGAAAATAATCATTAAATGGAAAAATAAGAATATGGCAGAAAACTTGTTATTACAAAAAACTTCCATTAGTTTCTAATTTTATTTCTTCTAAATTATATTTCACAAAATTACCTGAAGGTAAATAAATCTTTACGAAAAAAAGGTAGTAACAAGAACTGAGTTATGGTATATATTAAAATAAAGCACTCATTATCTTGACATTGTAACTTCAAATGGTTATAAAATGACCAGTTCTTAAGCAAGGACTATGAGTATATGAGATGTGAACATTGGTTTTTCCAGAAGATATATAATAATGTTGGAAAGATGATATTTACTTTTAGTTAGTTTATCTTATCATTTGTTTTGTAACTGTGTTTTTATTTTTTGCATTCAATAAAGGAAGATACAGAAAAATGTGTATCCAAAGCATTGCTGAATCAAAAAAAAAATACCCAGCTAGCATAACAATTGTACAGTATACTTAGAGGATACTCTATACATTTCTATTGAGATTAATTTTAAAAACCCTTTTACGAATCTACATACCCAGGTTCTCTAGATGAGGCATATCCTCGAGACAGCCGTGAAGAACGGAGTGAACTTTTACTACAAAGACAATTCTAAAAAAATACAATATGTTATGAATAATGATACAATTTAAATTCATTTCATTTATCTCATTTTACTAATCTTTAATATTTTTATTACAGCAGTCTTTCAAATAACTGCCTATTTATTGACTTCTGCCCATCTTAGTTTAACTTCTGTGAGGATTATGTATGATAGTTTGATAGCATAAAACTACAAATACAGATCCCCCCCCCCCACAAATGATCTGGAAAATGTTGCTAGGGTAGCTATGAGCCGTGGTTAGACTGCAGTACTGCAGGCTATTTCTGCTGACTGTCAGCTGCCTGCAATTTGGCTGTTCGAATTTCACCAGGCTCAAGATTGACTCAGCCTTTCCTCCTTCTGAGGTGAGTAAAATGAGGACCCAGATTATTGGAGGCAATACGCTGACGCTGCAAACCGCTTAGAGGGCTGTAAAGCACCGTAAAATGGTATATAAATCTAAGTGCTATTGCTATGAGAGCAAGAACTTAATCTGATTAAGACATCAGATCAAGAACTGTAATTTCCATCCCAGATTCAGAAATTTCTTTGGCAGCTGATTGTTATTATCTTTTTAATGCCTTGTTTACATTCATTTAAAGTACAACACAATCTGTTAGTATATTCTAGTTTTCCCAAGCCTGTCCCAAAATACAGCAACTAGGCTACTGTCAAGTATTATCATGTTTAGAACATTATGATATTAAAAATCAAACTAGTTCTCAATTAAAATCACTTTAAAGCAGAATGATACAATTTAAATAACTGGGATTATTATTTTAAATTTTTAAATTTAAGATATCTTTTAAAAAATGAAAAAAGTTCATTCATTCTTTTGTCATTTTGCATAGCAAAGCAGATTTATGTTAGGAAACTCTAGTCCAAGGGTATCAAACTGATGGCCCGCAGGTCATGTGTCACGTGCAGGCCACGCCCATCCTAGCTCCACAAAGGGGGAAACCATTGCAATATGTCATGTGACCACGTGATACTGCAAGTTTGACACCCATGCTCTAGTAGTATGATTAAATGTTGAATCAACCTTATTTTTTATTCTTGAAGAAAATTAAATATAGAAAAGACTCTCACATGTACACATTGACAATGGCATTAGAAATCTAATGTAAATATTCATTTCTTGAATTCGAACAAAAATCTACTGATAGTGCTTACAATGCTTTAAGGTAGAAACAAAGAATGTTCAGTTAATGAATCTCTTTCTAATGCACTCAGTTGTAACATTTCATGTGACAGGTGCCTGTCTGTTTGGATTCTAAGGTCCCAGAGCAATTTAGCTTCTTCGTTTTCTATGACCTTCTCTATTTTATGATCCTATCAATTCTTGCTTGCAGGCAAATGATATTTCTTGCAGATTTTGAAATATCATTGTTGCTACTTTGTCATGGCATTGCTTGACATAAGTTCTGTGTGATCTTTTTGCAACAGCTAACCAGGTGGTCTGCTGTTTCTTCACCTTCTTTGCAGAGATGGCACTGCTATTTGTTGCTGTCTTCTCAAACCTGGCTTTGTATGCATTTGTCCTTAAGACTTGATTTTGTGCAGCTAGAATTAGCCTGTTTCTTTTTCAACTTTCTTGCTCTTAGGCATTGCCGGGTATTCTCATTATCTATTTTCTGTGCTATTTTTTATGTACTGACTATGTAATGTTTTGTCTTCCCAAGCCTCCTTTCTGTTCTTCATTTGGTCCTTCCTGTAAGGCATTTTGGTCTCTCCCGTATCCAGTAAGCCTTCCTTGTACTAGCTTCAGTGAATCATCTTCACTGTCCTTCAAATATTCTTCCAATGCCATTTTTTTCTTCTTCAACTACCTGATGGACTTCCAACATTGCATGGCCTCCCATTTGCCTCAGTAAGTAAAGTTTATCAACATTACTTCATAGATCACTCATGATTCATTGTCTTAATTTTTCTGGTCTTCATATCTAGGACCCTTAGTTCTGCTTGAGTCAAGTCCACTATTTCAGAGATGTATTTAATGACTGGAATTGCTCAAATCTTGATTGCCTTGATGGTGTTTCCTCCACTGAGCCCCTTGAGTTTTGACTTTAAGATCATCTTCACTTCTTCACTTCTAATCTTTTTCTTGACTTCAGTGTGCTTGATGCTGTCAACTTTTAAGGACACTTGGGTATTTATAATGACAGTCTTTACTCAGACTCTTAATGGTATGTCCATAGTGCATTTTGATTCCTTTAGTTTTTACTATGTTTCCTCATTTGATGATAAGCATGGCACATTAATTCAGTTTAAACTCCATTGCAATATTTAAACTATGTGTATGGACAGTGTTGAACAGTGATTCTATTTCAGATGGTGTTTTTCCATAATAGCTTCAAATCATCTATGTAAATAGCCTGGCAGATGTTTTGTTTGCTAGCTATGGCTCAAGTTAGTCAGTACTGTTCACAGAGGAATCAGTGCAATGACAAAGAAAAGCGAGTCTCCTTGGAAAAGTCTTCTCTCGATATTAACCTCTCCCATTCTTATCACTACTGAACAGCAACCGTATCTTCCATTGTGCCATCGATCTTTGCACAAAACTTCTGATGCTTGTACTGACTCCATTTATTTCTAAGCACTTGATTATCCAATCATGTGGCAAGGAGACAAATGCGTCATTTGCCATCTTTCACACAATGGGGCTATTCTAAGGGACTAGTGTGTGTTGCATGTTTCTGCTCTCCAAAGATACAATTGATTAGAATTCTAAGATATTCTAAATTTAAAAAGAAAAACAGTAATGCCATAAAGGCTTATTTTGCACTAAACAGAATATTAGAATAAACTAAACTAGTGCATTGGATGTTTTTAGTACTAGAATAAAGTTGTGGAATATGCTAAATCGAATTGTTTCTTCAAAAGTATGGGTGGAATGCACCAAAATCACCTCTACCCGTTTCACACCTTTTTATGAAGGAACAGATCCTCCACATTACACAGTCTTTCTCTTCCTAAAAAGCAAATACTGAGAGCAATATGTAATTTTAATAAATTGCTTTTCAAGTAAGGTCATGTTTTTCTATGCTGTCACAAAGACTGGCCCACAAAGACTGTGACTAGCATGGATGGCTGGATGTTGTTCAGCTGCCTCTCACGACAACACACGACAATACAGTAGAGGAGGTCCTTGAAATACCAGAGCTTCCAGGAGTTACACGCCCATGCTCCGAATTAGAGGTGACCCAAGGAGCCTGCCAACCCCGTAGGCCCTGGCCCACCACCTAGCAGGCAACGAAATTTGTGATCATGTCCGGTCGGCACTTGAGGCTCTCAACTTTCTTATTAAGCCTGTCACACAAATAGTAGTAACCGCAAGCCGAGGGAGCAAGAAATTTCAGAGCCGCCTCCCCTGGAAAAAGGGGCGCCAGCCCGCACTGCCTGATGGGAAGCGGAGGCTTCATTTAAGCGGACGCCACGCGAACGAGCGTATTTCCCTGATCGCCCGATCTCCTGCAACAGGGAGGCGACCAAGGAGTTGCCACATTTTCACGCTTTTTCCTCACGGCCGCGGTTAAGCCGCGCTGGAATCAAGAGGCCTCTTCCGTTTCTCCGGCCAATTCCTTAATGAGAAGCGGGCGGCCGTGACAAAAAGGCTGAAAACTGGGATCGGAGTAGAGCCGGAGGCACCAGCTCTCGCTCTCTCTCGCATTGCTCACCTGAGCCGCTGTGGTAGCCACGCGCTGACAGACCCGCAACATGATGATGCCGAAAAACGACCGCCGAAGCTTAAAAAAAAAAAAAGCAGCGTCGCGAACCACCGCCTGCCTGCCCCCGCAGTGACAAGCGCCCAGGGCACGTTAACGAGGAGGGAGGAGCTTGGGTTTACCAATCAAAATGGGCTAAACGGCGAATATGCAAATATGCCTCCCTCTATCATACAGAGACTGTCATGGCGGTCAATTGGAATACAAAACGTCATCAGCCACGCGTAATAAGCGCAGAATGACTCTCTCTTGGCCTTGGGCTCGGAGAATGGTTTTGGCGCCATGGCGGGTTTTTTGGGGGGGGGGGGGGGGGGTGGGGAGGGGGATCTGGAAAAAGATTTCGTGTGTTTCGTTCTTTCAAATAAAAAAAGAATTATATAAATAAATCAGTTTTAATTTTTCATGTTTAAATTGTTCGAATGAAAGTATGATCTGTCGATGTCAACAGCCTTGCAAAGTGTGCTGTTGATAAAGGAGGGAAGCGAAAAATAAAACGTGGAACAATGTTGTATTGGAATGATATTTATTCTAAACATACCCTGTATCACAGCATTTTCATAGAAGTTATAAAAAAGAATCAGAAATTAATTATGTTCACGTTCAGGCTTAACATAAAACGCTAGACTGTCAACCTCTGTTAAAAGATATAAAAATATACCACTCGGCGGGTTTCAGATAGGAACATGTTTTGTTCAATTTATATTGTCTGAATCCCATAAAATGCTATTGCTTTCCCCTTCTATTCATTTCATGTATTTTATGTCTATTTTAAAAAATAGCAGTATCAGATGGCACTGGGATAACAATCTTCCTCTAAACTCCAGTCATTTACTCATGTTGCTCCATATTTGTTGATACAGTAAATCAGAGCCAGTTTGGTCTAGTGGGTAAGGCACCAGACTAGAAAGTGGGAGACCATGAGTTCAAGTCAAGTCTTACCTATGAAAGCCAGTTGGGCAATTCTGCCAATTATTGTCCCTCAACACAATCCTCATGTGGATTGTGGGGAAAATAATAGCAAAATATATTTGGAAATGTACGTTGCCTTGTTTACTATTTTTTGTAAAAATAATAAAAGCAGCATACAAAATAAATAATAATAGAGACTCACATGGCACATCGTGTTAATTGAATGATTTAATGACATTTAAAAATGCCTGAGATTTCATTTCATATTAAGAAAACAGCATACTAAGTGTGCATCAGATCTGGATATCCAATAATTTTGAATGGATGGCATAGAAATAGTCCAACATGGTAAATAATTGCTTATACTGTGAACCATGTTTTGCTTAATTGAGATTTAATGAAGAAGCCTGAATAGTGAATAGCATTTATGCAATCATTTATTCAACACACTCAGCCAAAATAAAAAAAGTATTAGAGTTTAGCATGATAACAGTGGACCAATAAATCAGATAACTAAAACTAACAAGTAATATTCTTGGATTAATTTCCCAAAGAAATTTCCTGACACTTGTAGGAAAAACCCAAATCTTATGACATCTTTGGGATTAACAAATTTATTTTCAGATAGTTTTTTGTGGATCATGTCGAATAGTTCTGTATGAGATTTTATATTTAATAAAATTATAGGAGAATTTTGCGAGTTGCTGTAAGAATTGGCATACAAATATATACGCTAAAGAAAATCTTGAGCTACCTCAAAAAGCAGCAAGTCTACAATCATGAGTTTTTAGTCCTCAGTAGCTTACACATTATACACGTTATTACATTTGATATTATTTTATAATATAATGTGACAAAAAACACGCTCCTGATTTTTTTTTACAAGCAATGAATGAAAAGCGGCAGAATGTTGCGTAAATTCATTTTCGCTTTTGCTTAGTATTGACTCCCTACAGTTGCCGTAGTGAGGCAGGGGGTGCAGGGAGTGCAGGGAAGGAAGATGGCTGCGTTTGGTGCGGTGCGGCGATTTTCAGGTCAGTGGACGACAGGAGAATCCAAACGGAAATTTCCTGGGTCTGGTGGTGCAGGACGAGTAAAGGAACGAAAAGAGATAGCTTACTGCGAAATCTTTGAGCTCATTATAGATGTCTTTAAATCTGTGTAACTGTATCTTTGTATGCAGGGACGATACTACCTGGGATACTGTACAGGGGTGGAGAACTATGGCCCCTGTATGACCTGTGGACATCCAACTCCCAGAATGATTAGCTCTGCTTCCCCACACATCTTAATGTTTTGACACAAGACACAATCTTTAAACAGAATGCATTGCTTATTAGATTTATTACTTAGGAGTAAAATGGGAAATATGGGACAATGAAATTATTGAAAATGAAGGGAGGGGAGAGAGAGAGGAAATCCAAGTCTTCGTATCTAGTCTACTCCCAAAAATTAATATGCCAAAGTATGTATAAAGAAGCAAATTTATCAAAATGAAGTATAAATTCACGTTGGCTTCACACAATTTTCTAGGATATAATTTGATTTGTTTGCTTTCATTTATGGCAATTGAACCCAGTCATAATTAAGAAAAGCATTGCTTAATATTATGTAAAATCACAAACAGAGTATAGCTATAGAAAGCTATAGAATAAAATATTTCTGTTAAACAGCTCAAGAGTTTGGCTTAGTGTTATTGGGTAGTTCCAAATGGTATTTATTTTGATAAAATCAAAACTATATTTTGAATTATGATGTGAACCAGCTTGATAATACTGTAGGGTTTTTTTCATGCATGGCTTTGCTAGCCATAAATACTGAAATGGCTAATTGCTTAATTTGGCTGTTTAAACAGGAAATAATTGGTTTAAAAAAAAATCCTGTCCTGAAGACAGAATGTGCATTATCATTACTATATATCTGATTGCTATCTCTTGAGAATCTACTCTTTCTTCAAATCTGCTCCACTGTCATTAAAAATTTTGGCTTCTGAATCCCATTCTGATTCTTAATCGATAGAATAATTTCTTCATATCGCCTCAACATTTCTAAATGGAGAATAATTATGAATGATAATCAGGAAGATGTTTCTGCAACTTGTGCTGAGTTCTTTTACCATGTTGCTCATGTTCTGTTTTGGTGTTTTTGTTTTTGTTTTGTAGGAGTTTTACGATCTTTTTGCTCTTTGGTCCCTTCAGTCTACAGTGGCTCATGCACTGTAACTCCAATTTATCGACTGTCTTCCTTTCATATTTCTCAGAGTCAGATATCCACAAGTTCTATCAAAAAACCTTTTTTATCTTTAGCCAGTCCTTCATCTGGACTTTCCTTTTCTATAACAAACAGGTAAGCGTTGTTTAACAGAGTTGAAATTTCATAAATATGGATTTAGTTTCTTCCTTTATGATTATTTCTTTATTTTAAAAGTGTATAAGGTTTCTCATCTTATGAAACACAACTCTGGACAGCTAACAGCAATAATAAAAACACAGTGATAAAATAGTCCAACAAGCAAAAAGTAAAAATGTAGCACCTAATCCAGAAACTTCCACCCAAATGCACAGTCCTCTAGGCTTTAACATTGGTATCCCAGTGCCAGATTTCTGGAAAGCTAAGAGGGTGAAGACCTGCTGATCTTAAGGCAGACAGTGTTTTGCAATGTCAGTATGTAGTAATGCAGTACTACATATTCTACCATCTTTTTCTTTTCACTATTTTCACAGTCCGGTTTGTAAGATTTTTTTATCAAGAGATAATGATTTATTTATGGTTTAACTACAAAATGTCTGTTTTAATTTCAAATGAAGAGATTTATAATAATGGCTACTCATAATGTCTTTTGTTTGGTTTTAGTTTGTATGTTAAGCAAATCCAGCTAATTGTGACTTATTCCATAAACCACAATTACATAAAATATGGTTAGTACAATGTTTGAATCAATACATTCTTTATGTAATGAAGCAGTTCTTGATCACAAAAACAAAAAGCCCATCCCAATATTCTATTACAGGACTCTGCAGCTCTCAGGCCATGAACTGGTCCTTGACCTGTTAGGAATTAGGTTGCATAGCTGAAGGTGAGCTGGGGACAAGTGAGGAAAAATAAACACTCCCCCCCCCAAACACACACACCAGTCGATGGAAAATTTGTCTTCCCTGAAATCGGTCCCTAGTGCCAAAAAGGTTGGGGACACTGTTCTATTAGATATTCCATTATCGATTTGCTCCATACTGTATTTAAGGATTGAAAATAGTTTTATTTGGCAAAATATCAAGAACTCTACTTAGATGGTTAAAGTAAATATCCCCATAGAGCAGGAGTGTCAAACTCGCAGGCCACGGGCCCTGCATCACATGTTTACCCCAGCCCTGCCCAGTTTGGCGAAGGAGGGAAAAGTCGTGATATGTCATGTGACACCGCCGTGATGCCACGAGTTTCACACCCCTGCTATAGAGCAAAACAATCTCTAGGCATAGTGGTAGCCCATTATAGTGATGGAAGGCCTACATGAAAGTTCTATTTCTAAGCGGTATTGACTTCATTTGTCAGGAAGTATTGCAAAAAGAATTTGAGGTATGAAGTCAGGTTTGATCATAAATATGATTCCATTATGAAGAATTACTGTAAGAATCGGTAAAAGCAAAAATAATTATGAGATTCAAATGTTGAGGGATTGCTTTTTTCAGGAATTCAATTGTCCATTATAAATTAGATTGTTTTTCAGTATCATCTGTATGATAAAAATAATTTTATAAAGACATTTGAGAACAGAAGGAAATCTGTGGAATCATTGATGTACATTTTCTGTGTTACTCGGGCAGGAATTAATTTTATATTATATAAATAGTGAATTGGTTTTATATTTTCTTGGTTTGATATAAATATTAGAGTGGCACCTCTGCTTCAGAATATCCTTCATCAGCAAGTAAGGACAGTCATCAGTTTCAGCTTGCGAAAAGGAAAAAGAAAAACTGTGAAACCAGTGATTAAGAGATTTCTCCGGTTGCACTGTGGCCTCTGGCTAAGAAGAAGGGTAAGAATGCTTTCTTCAACTACGGGATTTTTTTATGTGCATGAGTTACCTTTACTCTGTTTATAAAGAAATATAAGACAATCAATATGAAGAATATGCCTCCCTTTCTAGAGGTCTCAACAATTTGTGTTTTTACATATAGGCTTCTGTTTTTTGAGATTTAAATCTTTTGTTCTTTGATTGATAGGCTGGCTACAAGAAAAAAGTGTGGAAAAAAAAGGCTAACCGGATGAAACGCTTGCGGGAACATGTATTCTGCAACAAAACACAAAGTAAGATGCTTGATAAAATGACTACTTCTTTCTGGAAAAGAAGAACATGGTACGCCAATGATCCCTATCAGAAATATCATGATCGTACAAATTTTCACTTGTGAATTGTGAACTGCAATTAATCACTTTATCCTACTTTTTTAGTAATCATGTAGGAAGCTTCTATTAAATTACTTACGTACAATAACAGATTAAATATTTATTGGTGTGTTTTATTTGCACAAACTGATTGATATAGTTTATATGATTTACCGTGGTCTCAAGCATTACGCTAATCTCACTATTTTCTCAATTATTAAATATTTAGAGCTCAGAAATATATACAATAATTATCTCCAAAAACAGGGCTTAGTTTTGAGTGACAGAATAATTGATAGAAGGTCACCAACTGAAGTTCAAATTGACGAGAAACTTGAATTTAACTTTCTATGGTCCTGGTTTGAAACTAATCAGAATGCCACTCTGATTCTCTGAGTATTCTTTAGTATCTCTGAGAGTTCTTAAGAAGCCTTTCAATGACATCATAGAAAGTATTGAGGAGATAGAACATTAAAAAAAAAGAGCACTACAAAACCATACAATTAAGCATAATTTTTATTTAGTTTTTATTGTTTTAAATGTGTTTTTTATTCTGTAAGCCACCTTGAGTCACCATGGTCAAATAGGCAGCAATATAAATTAAATAAATAAATGAATAAAATAATATTATTGAACAGAACAGCCATTTCTTTCAGGAAAAAAAAAGTTTAAGACTTTATTTCAGTATTTATCAAGCATAGCAAAACATTGACATTTGGAATACTGTTATAGTGTCTGATCACACAATGTATTCTTTAGTGCTCTATGCAATTTGCTATGACTCAAAAGGGGAAAAACACCTTAGTTATCCAGTTTAATCTCAGATGTTAGACATTAATGTAACTTTCCAAATACAGATATGTACCAAATATAAAATGTTAGTGCAAAAAAGAAAAATTACTTATGAAACATTTAGCACATGTACACTTTCGTACATTTAATACATTTATCTTGCAGAGCACATCTTGAAAGTAATAGACCATGTGCACTTGGCTAGGGACCATCCAATATTGTATTCAGGATTTGTTTTGTTTTTCTAAATATCTTATTTAATAAGAATTTTATTTCCTCTTTCCATACCGTGTTTTCCCCAAAATAAGACGGTCTTATTTTCTTTTGTCCCCCTAAAATAAGTGCGTGGCCTTATTTTCAGGTAGGTCTTATTATTTTTGAGATGCATGAGACGGTGAGTGTAGTCACCTCATAGCTGCTGCTGTGTTGCAATATTTTGGGGGAGGGTTTATTTTCAGGGGAAGGCTTATTTTAGCACATGCGCTCAAAAGCCCAATTAAGCTTATTACCTGGGGAGGTCTTATTTTCAGGGAAACGGTATATATTCTGTTTAATTTTTGTTTGCAGATTTTGTTTTAATGTGGAGCAGTTTTTCTGCTTAACATTTATATTTATATCCCACCTTTATTATTTTTATAAGTAACTCAAGGTGGCTAACCTACCTAATGCTCCTTCCTCCTATTTTCTCCATAACAACAAACCTATGAGGTGGATTGGGCTGAGTAAAGAGTGACTGGTTTAGTCACCTAGCTGGCTTTCATATCTAAGTCTGATTAGAACTCACAGTCTCTCGGTTTCTAGCATGATGCCTTAACCACTAATTGCATAAGAAATTGCCTTTGAGCAGACAAAAACTATTTCTCCATTTGCCCTCTTAAGTTTTCCTAATTGGCAGCAGCAATTCAAGTTCTTTGGTAGCCTTTTGAGCATCTCAATCTTCTAATTGGAGATGACAATATATCAGTGATATCAATGCCTTCGGTAGGCAAAAAAACATGCTCTCACTGAACATTGCTTTTTGTATCTCAAGAGTGAAGGTTCAAAGACTAAGACAAATATACCAACTTTAGGACCTAAGCAACAGATACTGGTCTGATTATTAATTATCAAAAAACCAAAACTTAATGATCTATTCAAAGAGATCTAAGTATAATATTCATGGCAAATTAATGGGAATGTTATAGAACAGGTTCAGTCTTTTCAATATTTCAGAACAGTTATTGACAGGCACTTCAAGGCCCGAATTCAGTTTTTAAAATAAGGTAAAAAGGAGTGAGCACTATCTTAAGGCTTTTCTGTATGAAAAGAGGTAATCATATACTAGGCTGACTAAAAGTGTTTTTGATCAAAGCAATAATACAGCTAATTTACAAATATGTGTCTAGAATAAAGCGCTATTCAATCAGCTATTTTGGGTTCATGATGCACTCCAGGCAGTTGGAAGGGTGTGGGTGTGTAATTTCCAAATTATGACAATATTTAGCCAAGATTGAAGATGATTATATCAACCAATTAATTAATCAGGAGGCAAAGATGTCATTTAGCATAGCCAGATTCAACATACTGGCTATGACAGAAATAAACAACTGCTTCAAAAAGGGTAAATCCAAATATTCTATATATCATATTTAGTTGATACTGAGATACTTATTTTTATGGTCTGTGACTATAATAATAAACTAATTACAGATTATGGACTTAAACCATGTACTTATTTCCTCATGAAAAAGAATCTGGATTAGATATTTGGTAAATGTGAGGTATTGTAATACTATGCTAGGTTTGCATTTACAAAGGGTGACAGCAGATAGCAACCTTAGCTATTATGCAGCTAAAAAAGAGAGTCGGCTCTAGTTAGTACTTGGATGGGGATTCCTGTGCAATTCTAGGATGGTGACTACATTGAAAACTGGAAATACAGTTTGGCATGAAGGCAAAGGTATTCTACTTTCACTGATATTTAAAAAGCAGTAGGGCGATGGCCACATAGGTCCCTAGACTCAGGGCAAAGGAACCTTTTTCCTTTATATCTTGCAATCTTCTCTTAGTCTCAGTTCATTTTGTAATACTAAAACTGCTATAGCAGGAACGCATTGCTGATGGGATACATCAGATATACGTTCCAATGATGACTCCACATCTGCAGTTCAAGTCATTTCAGACTGAAAAATGTGGAAATTAGAGTTGTCTTGGATGCACATTTCACTTCTGATATTGATCCAAAAAATACTAGAAAATTGAAATAACTATTCATTAAATGTGAACAGTAAAGCACATCATTATATGGAATTGTGAAAATATAATAGTCCCAGTATTTTGGTAGAAAGTATGTGCTTTGAGTTTTCAAATCCCCCAAACTAATGGGTTTTGCTACCTATATCTAACAATTTATTATAGCAGCCAGGACCAATTTGTTTTCAACAATATTGCAGATTAAAAATTTAGTAGAATGTATTATTAGGTAGCCATTCATGATTCTTACTGAGCGATTTAGAGGCATACAGTTCAACTGCAATTAGTACATTTGCTAGATACAATTAATTTTACAATGAATTCATACGAGAGATAAGGCAATTTCAACAATTTCACTTCAGTATTTACAAAACAAAGTCCAGACCAGTCATATTTTTAATAAACAGCTGATCAAAAAGACATTGATTAGCTTTAATTAAAATAAAGTGTCATAGAATTTGAGAAGAAACATCTTTTTGGCATAAATGAATATAAATTTATCAACTTTTTCCTCAAAAAATCAATTACATAAAACACAATGATAAAACTCTTATGTCTGCTACTGTTTCATACAATAAGGAAGTAGATATATATCAGTGGTGGGTTTCAATTTATTTACTCCCACTACTGCCACTACTGGTTCGCCCGATCCAGGGCGAACCAGCAGAAACCCATCTGTGGTATATATCTATGAGAGAGACAGACAAAATATACCTATAGAATCTTAACAAATATGCAAACTGACACATCAAACATTTTGAGATATCTGTCCTATGACTTAATATTTCTTAATATTGCCATTTAAATTCTTGATTTACTAATTGAAATGGCAACAGGTCCAAATTTGGTTTAAATGGAAGATAATTTTTTAAATTTTTTTTCATATAGTGCTATCAATGTGTTGCTGATATATAACAATGGGATTATTATTATTTTTTTTGCATTTTAAAAGCGTTAGGAAGTTTCGACCTTATACTGAAGCATGCTAGGAAAAATCCTATATATTTACTTCAGATATCCACTTTATACAGTAAGGTTGACTATGGAGAGTAAAATACAGTCATTTCAGAATCTCGCCTGAAAGATTAGATTAGTGCTATCATACACAATCTATTTATCTTCAGTGTCAACATGTTTTTATGTTCTACAGTACTTTTGTTTTTAATGAGATAGCTACAAAGGCAAACACAAATGTTTATAGTATCATCTTCAAGATTTCATGCTTTACACATATAGGAGACATCAATCCAAAGCTAAAATACATCAATCCTAGTATGCTTTCCTTGTTTCAAACTTTTCTATAATTACAAACATACCATCTAACTACAGACTGTTGTAATCTATACCAGAAGCTATATTACTGCTGAAATCTCTGAACTTCTCTAAATTAAATGCTAATGTGTGAGCTGGGAGAATGACAGGACTAAAATCATAATTATGACTTGCACCTTAGCATTCATTACTGCAACTGTACAGGGCGGGGCATAACCTTTTCCTAGGGGGTCACAGCAACACTTGTAATAACAACACAAATAATTCATACACCATTCGAAAGCCCATCAAAAACTGAGTTTATTGACACGATTTAATAGTCAGTATGACCACCATTAGCCCTTCGAACAGCATTCAAACGAGGTGGATAAGAACACAACAAATCTTCAAACAGTTCCGTTCGATTTTCCAGATTTTCCAGAGGGCGGGGCATAACCTTTTCCTAGGGGGTCACAGCAAGATCGACAGCAGTTTACAACTTCCGCGACACCTCATTTTAAAGCCCATAAAAAACTGAATTGAATGAGCTATTAAATGTTAAATTTGTTTCGGTTGAAACTTTGAGAATGAATTTGGAAACTGTGTTGAAAAATCTGGAAAATCGAACGGAACTGTTTGAAGATTTGTTGTGTTCTTATCCACCTCGTTTGAATGCTGTTCGAAGGGCTAATGGTGGTCATACTGACTATTAAATCGTGTCAATAAACTCAGTTTTTGATGGGCTTTCGAATGGTGTATGAATTATTTGTGTTGTTATTACAAGTGTTGCTGTGACCCCCTAGGAAAAGGTTATGCCCCGCCCTGTAGTACAGTAT